AAAAAAAAAAGTCTGACACTCAACTGAGCCATCCAGGTGTCCCCCCGACAATTCGTTTTTAACTCATGTTTTCCAATGTCTCCCTCATGTCAGACTCGGGGGGCGGGGGGTAAGAGAGGACTCAGATGTGTGCATGTGTGGCCCCAGTGCAGGGGCCATACAATTCAAGGGGACAGAGCCCTCAAATCTTCCAGAGAGGGGCCCTACCTGCACAAACATTCCCTGTGGCAGAGTCAGCCTCACAGCCATGTGACCTGAAGAATCATGACAACAGCCTCACACAGATAGAGGCCTTCCCTATGCCGTGCCCCACGGGAGATGGGCTCTGGTGACCTGTCTCCATGTCAGATGCAAGAGAAACCCGGGCGGGCCTGTGTATTCGTTTCCTGGGGCTGCCATAATGAAGCAGTAAAAACGGGTTGGCTTAGAGCCACAGAAAGGTAGTGACCCACAGTTCAGGAGCCAGAAGTCTGCGATCAGGGTTTGGAGCAGGGCCGTGCTCCCTCTGGAGCCTGTAGGGGAAGGAAGATCCTTCCTTGCCTTTTCCAGGGTCTGGTGTCCCCAGGCGGTCCTTGGCTTGTGATTGTGTGACTCCAGTCTCCACGTGGCATTCTCCCCATATGTCTGCGTTGTCTTTCCTCTGAGCATGTCTGTCTCCGTGTCTACATTTCCCTGTTTTGACCATAAGGACGTGGGTCATACCGGATTAGGGCCCACCCTTGGACCTCAGCGTAGTCTATAACTTCTGTAGACACCCTGTTTCCAAATAAGGGCGCATTCTGAGCTACTGGGGTTAGGATTTCCATATCTCTTGTGGAGGGGGACAGACACAGGTCAGCCTTCGATGCTGGGAGGACAGCGGAGGCCCCCGTATTTAGGGCTGGTGGGGGGCATGGGCTGGGGCCAGGGCTGGCTTTAAAGAGGGAACAGATGGCCCAGAGGGGAGGTGTGCGGGGATGGGGACACAGTACGGGATCATAGGCCTGGTGTCCGGGGCCTTTCCCCGTTCTGTCCTCTGACAGGGCCTCTTGCGAGAGGGCCTCCCTCACAGGAGATGACGGGCGGCCCCTGTCCTCACTCTCTGGGCCTGGCACTGTGTCAGCACTGGGGATAGAGCAGGGAGTGCAAGTGTCCCTGCGTGGTGGAGCGTGGAGAGGAGGGCGACACGCAGGTGCAGGCTCTCCAGGTGTGGCCTGGGGGCTGGGAGGTGGCGGCCCTGGGGGCCGCCGGGCACCCCCACGCCCTGGGGCTGACAGCCTGGCCTCCTGCAGGTTCATGGGCGGGGGAGGCGAGACCTGCAGCCTCATCGCGGAAGGCCTCAGCACCGCCCTGCAGCTATTCGATGACTTCAAGAAGATGCGGGAGCAGATGTGAGTGTGCCCGGCATGTGGGGTCCACGTGGGGCCCAGGTGTCCCTTTCTACCTGGCTGGGAACTCTGGCTCGTGACTCCGCCCACTGCCTCACCCTGGGAGGAGCTGGTGGGCCCTGAGTGCTGAGCGCTGGGGGTGGCAGGCGGGAGGTGGGAGGCGTCCCCTGGCCCATGGCCGGTCTCAGTGTCCTCACTGGGAAGAGCAGCCTGCCGCGGGTCCGTCTCCTGCTTCCCCTGCCAGCCGGGCAACCTAGAGGGAGTCAGAAACCTCTCTGGGCCTCCGTGTTTTCAGCCGTAAAGTGGGGCTTTTACTCCCGACTTGCGGCTCTGCCGGTGCCGGGTCTGTCCCTTCTCAGGGCCCCCGTTCTTCCCGGCTCCACATCTTTCCTTATCCCTGGCAGTGGCCAGACACACCGCGTCTGCCTCCTCATCTGTAACTCGCCCCCTTACCTGCTGCCCGCCGTCGAGAGCACCACGTACTCTGGGTACACGACGGAGAGTCTCGTGCAGAAGATCGGGGAGGTGAGGACTCTTGAGTCTGATGGAGGGACACAGGCTGGAGTCCCAGAGCTGAGGGAGGAGAGCGCCGGGGCCCGGACTCCTGCGTCAGAGTGGCCAGCTCTGCTGACCCCTTTTGGAAGAGCTATAACCCAGAATGCCCTGGGGCAGCACCTCGTGGTCACTGGTCTCAGAGCCCGATGGGAATTTGGGTTTAGGGCCCAGCAGGTGCAGTTACCTGGGGGTTGGCCCCCGGGCCCCCACCCTGACCACTCATCTCTTCTCCTGCAGCAAGGGATCCACTTCTCCATCGTGTCTCCCCGGAAGCTGCCTGCCCTGAGGCTTCTGTTCGAGAAGGCGGCTCCCCCGGCCATGCTGGAGCCACTGCAGCCACCGACAGATGTGAGCCAGGACCCCCGGCACATGGTGCTGGTGCGGGGGCTGGTGCTGCCGGGTGAGGCCCGGGTGCCGGTGGGACGGTGGGGGGCAGCCCCCCACCACGCTCCCTCTGACTTAGATTTCTCTCCCTTCTCTCGAACCCCTTCTCACGGGGCTTGGTCGTCCATCCTTCACTCTCAGTTGGGGGTGGCTCAGCCCCAGGCCCCCTCCAGCCAAAGCAGCCTGTGCCCCTGCCTCCAGCTCCACCCTCAGGCGCCTCACTCTCAGCAGCGCCCCAGCAGCCTCTGCCCCCGGTCCCCCAGCAGTACCAGGTATGGATGTTGCCAGGAAGGGGACATGCTCCTGGGGCCTAGCGGGAGCCCTGGCCTCTCAGGAGAGACCTAGCAGGATGTTGGGGCTTATGGGGTGATGGGAGTCTCCACGGGGACACCAGGGTGGGTGGGACTCTCGGGCCGGAGAGTCATGTCCCCATGGTGTGATGGCAGCCGTGAGCTCCTGCTGCGTTGTAGCTGGCGTAACTGTGCCTTGTGGGGGCACAGTGGCATGACCCCATGGGGCACCAAGACTGGGGTGCGTGGCCCTTATCACCTTCTCCCCACCCAGGTCCCTGGGAACCTGAGCGCAGCTCAGGTGGCTGCCCAGAATGCGGTGGAAGCCGCCAAGAACCAGAAGGCTGGGCTGGGCCCACGCTGTGAGTCCTGGGGCCGGGCTGCGGGGTGGGCTGGGGTCAGCCAGGCCTCTCTGCACAACGGTCCCCACCTCTTCTCTTGGTCTCTCCCACAGTCTCACCCATTAACCCTCTCCAGCAAGCCGCTCCAGGAGTGGGTCCCCCCTTCAGCCAGGCACCGGCCCCACCACTACCCCCGGGGCCCCCTGGCGCCCCCAAGCCACCCCCTGCTTCCCAGGCCAGCCTGGTCTCCACCGTGGCTCCCGGCCCGGGCCTGGCCCCGCCCGCACAACCTGGGGCACCGTCCATGGTAGGTGCTCGCACGCCTGCCCCACCGCCCTGCTCCTTCCAGCCGCTAACAGAGCAGAGGCCGAGCAGCTCGCCTTCCCGAGGAGGGTGTGAGGGCACGTGGGTCTTGTTCTGAGTCTTCGGGTTCACGGGGCTTGTGCCACCGATGACCGAGACTGGAAGGTGTGGGGACGGAATCGTGGGTGGGGCTTTGGCTCCTGGAGGGGGAGAGCGGCTGAGGACTCTAAGGGATACCGGAGTCAGGGCATCATGGGCATTCAGTCCTCAAATCCTACAGAGGTTTATGGTCCTAGGGACCATCGAGTCCTTGAGAAAGGAACCTGCATTCCGTTCTTCCCGCCGGTCTGTCTGTGCCTCCGGTTGTGCCTCCCGAGAGACCCTCTGACCCTACTCTGTTGTCCTCCCTCCCCCCTCTGGCAGGCGGGCACAGTGGCCCCAGGCGGGGTGAGCGGCCCTTCCCCAGCCCAGCTGGGGGCCCCGGCCCTTGGTGGGCAGCAGTCAGTCTCCAACAAACTCCTGGCCTGGAGCGGGGTCCTTGAGTGGCAGGAGGTGAGTAGCACGAGGAGCCAAGTGGCTTTCGTGGCCCGTTAGGACATGGGACTGGGCCGGGGTCCCTATGGGGCCATAGGACTTGTCCTGAGGAGAGAAGCCTGGGACTTTTCACTCAGGGTTTGGGACTAGGGACGTAGTGAGAACTGTGTCGCAGGTGAAGAACCAAGAAGTCTTAGGTTCAGGGTCGGGACGGATTCAGGAGATCATGGCGTCCAGAGCTTGTGGGATTGGTGGTCTGGAGGAGGGGCCCAGGGCTCGTGGGACTTACACCAGGGGAGCCCATGTGCTCTGGGGCTCCCAGCCTAGGGCAGGAGACATTGAGGGGACTGGGGTTCGGGGTCCCTTTCGCCGTGACACGTGCCACTTTTCCGCTCAGAAGCCCAAACCCGCCTCGGTAGACGCCAACACCAAGCTGACGCGGTCGCTGCCGTGCCAGGTCTACGTGAATCATGGCGAGAACTTGTAGGTGCCTGTGGGGGTGGGGGCTGGGTGGCCCGGGGCGTGCGCCACCCTCCTGACACCTCTCCTGTGCGGCCCCAGGAAGACCGAGCAGTGGCCCCAGAAGCTCATCATGCAGCTCATCCCGCAGCAGCTGCTGGTGAGTGGCTCGCGAGAACGCCGCCAGCCCCTGCCCTCGTCCCTTCCCCGCCCCCCGCCGTTCCCTTCCCCACTCAGCGTGCTGGCTGGCCCGTGTCTCCCCCAGACCACCCTGGGCCCTTTGTTCCGGAACTCAAGGATGGTGCAGTTCCATTTCACCAACAAGGACCTGGAATCCCTGAAAGGCCTCTACCGGATCATGGGCAACGGCTTTGTGAGTCTGCGTCTGGGCGGGACCCGGGCACCTGTAGGGCTTCTAGAACCTGGTGGGGCGAGGGGCCACCTCCTCCTGCTCCTCCTTGTGGGGAGGTGACTGCTTCATCGTCCTTCACCAGGCCGGCTGCGTGCACTTCCCCCACACGGCGCCCTGCGAGGTGCGTGTGCTCATGCTCCTGTACTCGTCCAAGAAGAAGATCTTCATGGGCCTCATCCCCTACGACCAGAGCGGCTTCGTCAACGGCATCCGGCAG